TTGGCTCGGAGAGTTCCCGTGTGTCCTTTTGTGGTTCCCAAGATGATTTCATGAATGGATGTCCTCCTAAAATTTCTCGCGGAGTCTGTATATTTCAGTAAGCTATAATTTAAATATTATTAGTATTGTGTTAGTATGTGTTATATTGTGGTATAATATAATATTGTGTCAGTATGTGTTAGTCAAACTATGGTATAATAATATAATATTGTGTTAGTATGTGTTAGTCAAGCATGGTATAGATAGGAAAGAGGTAGTCTTAGTGTCTCTTTGCGCTGGCCACTTTCTATGTCCGCAATGTGGGACTCCATAGTGATGTTAGTTGGTTTATAGACCCCATCCCATGAATACTATACAGTTATAAGTTTATAAAATGTTATAAACCACAGCTGTTATACAATGTTGGGCCCCCTAGCTAAAAATTTGTTTATAAACACCAGTAAGTATCGTTATAAATACCATACCCTACAGCTCCAAACACCTTCTGAGACTGTATTTGGAGTGTTTTTTTGGTGTCTAAACACCTTCTCAGAGGGTATTTGGAGCACTAGGGATGATGAAAATTGGTGATTTAATGGTATTTGAACGTATTTAATCAACCAAAAAATCAAGATATACCGATAGTTATTGGAGTTATTTGAACCAACTGAACGCTATCGACCGGGGGCCCCACGTTGCAGAACACCCTGGGGCCTCGCATTGTAGGAAGATTAGGAAGTTCATTCTGGTCACCAAAATCCAATAACTATGATTTATGGTACTTACAACTATAGTATTCATGGGGTTTATAAACCAACTTATAACTGTTATAACTAGGTAAATTAGGCTTCGACCTCACTGTTCGACCGAAGCCTGGAATCATGGTTGGATTGTGGGGAATTATCCCAACATGGTCTTATTTTAGGTTAGTGAAATACTGTGGATGGAGGAAATCCTGCACCAGTTGACTTTTAGCCTTTCCCACCATTTATAGGGTTTCAACCATCCTTTTGGTGGTGCAGGATTTCGCAACCATCCACAGTATTATAATTTACCCAGATGTTTGTTTCGCGCTGATAACGAGCTCAGGTTGAAGCGAATGAGATGGCCCGTACAGCCAACAAGAATCGCATGGTCGCAGGCGTGGCGATGTCGTTTGCAGCCGAAATTCATAGGCATAGAGAAATGAGATCCTATAGTAAAATATATTATCTCGGGTTTTGATTTTTTACCAACAAAAATATGGGGGTTATTAACCAAGGTGTTTTTCCATAGTAGTGCAAAAATGCCGATCTATCTTTTCTGGTGTTCATATACTTGACAATTCATCAGGATTGTAAACTGGTATAGTGAATATCATATACCACTTTAATGATGACCTCCAAGTAGTTGTAGTCTAGTGGATATCCGACGTTTAAGCGTCGTTGATTTGTGATTTTCCTAGTGGTGACTCCACCCGAAGTGGAGCAATCTACTGGGAGAGGAGCGAGCATGGCTAGCTGGGAAATCCCCGAACTACAGCGGGCACTTTCAATGGGAAAATGCTCTACACATGGGGGAGTTAATTTTCCATTGCCACGTTTTTTTTTCGTTAAACCCACATTTTCTTATTGGGCAAATCCCATTCTCCTTGATTCAATTGCCAATTTTGACACAAACTGGCCCAAGTACCAGAAGATTCCCATGCTCCAAGATGGGGGTTTTCTAAATTATGGGTACCCCCAAATCATTCATTTATAGATGTTTCCATTACTTGGATTTGCTGAAGATGATGTTTTATTTATTTTCTCCATGGGAAATCCACTACGACTGGGGAATCGATTAAGGGAATATTTTTTGGTGGTTCCTTAAGCAAATCCATGTCTGGTAATTTAACATAGCTCTGGAAAATTGACCATGAGCTTAGATGACTTACCTATAGATTTTTCCATGGAAAACCAACCATTTGGGGTACCCCCATGATGGAACCCCTCCCCAGTCGCCGGGCAGATCTGGATACGCCGGACACGCGGGAGCTGCGCAAGCTGATAGAGGAGGTCGGGCACAAGTTGAAGGACCCGACCGACGCCGTCAAGCTCCGCGGAGCAGCTGCAGCTGGGGAAGTCCCGAAGTTGATGGAAAATGAGAGTTTTTTGTTCCAGATTTTTCATATTTTTGTTCAATCAACTATCATGGAACATCACAGATTTTATCATATTTATCTACATATTTTTCAATCTATCAATGGCCTCTGGTTAATATGCTAAATTAACCAGAGGCCATATCCTGTTGGGGGTTGAAACCATTGAGCACTGATGGAGAGTTCTTTGGGATGCGACTGGAAGGGTCGCCTTTGGAAAAAGCAGTTCGCAGTTCCTACGTTTTCGGATCTTTGAGGGTCTGGGCAGTTAAGAATTATTATTCATCATGATTCTACCAAAGTAGGGCCCCCCCAGTTATAAGTTGATTTATAAACACCAGTAAGTATAGTTATTTGCGTATATAGTTATTGGAGTTATGTGGTTCCCGACTGAACGCTATCGACCGGGGGCCCCACGACGCCAGTAAGCCAGTTGCTTCTCGGGGACAACTCTGGGATGCTCATCACCTGTTCTCCCGTCGATGAAATCAGAGAGGTATTGTGCAAGGTGGTGCCCCCAAGAGAGCTAAGTTGGTTTATAACTCTAATAACTAGGACTTATGGTAGATATATCTATAGTTAATGGGATTATAAACCAACTTATATCCTGCATGGTCAATATGCAAATGGGATTGATGATATTGACGGTGATTCGTGGTGATTGATGGTAATCAATGGCAATCTATAGCGATTAGGGGAATTAATGGTGACTAATATGCCATAGATCAAAGTGATGATCTGTAAACAAACATGAGAGTGAAAGCAGCCGGAGATTTCTTTTTTCCGAGGCTCCTGCCAAGTTGGAAGAACCACAACCACAACCCTTAGAACTGCCCACCGGAAGAAAAACAGACAAACAAAATAGCAAAGAAACAACATCTGGTTAGATTGTGGGGAATTATCCCAACATGGTCTTATTTCAGGTTAGTGAAATATTAAAACTGGTTGGTGGTTTGGAACATGGCTTTTATTTTCCATAATATATGGGAATAGTAATTCCCTTCTGACGAACTTATATTTTTCGGAGGGATTGACACCACCGAGCAGAATAAACAAGCAAACAATGGCAACATCTACCATCTGGTTATTTAACATAGCCATGGAAAATCACCATTTTTTATGGGTAAACCTCAATAAATGGGCCATTTCCCATGGCTATGTTAAATAGCCAGAGGGTATAACAACTTCTAATGCTACTGTTTGGTGATTTGACTATTGCTCATTTAGTGAGAAACGTTTTATTAACTCGTCCATTTTTGCGTCCATTGCAGGAAGTCGAGGAGGATCCAGACTTTTCCAAGCACCAGGCACGGCGGAGGAGCAGTATCGAGTATCGACTTGATTCATGGGAGATTTTTCAGAAAACATGGATTTAATTTAATGGTGATTTCATAGGATTTAATGGTGATTGCATGGGATTGAATGGTGATTGAATGAAATTGACTGGGATTTAGTTAGCTCAATGGGTTGAAAACTAGGCAAAGTCTCGTTTGTGTCTCGGGTGTTTATTTCTTTATAGTGGGTTTTGCTAAACTATGTCCCTTGTGGGGGGACCACCTTCCAGGTACAATATACTCAAGGCTGCCCCTGAGATCTTGGGGACCACAATAAACTGGGAACCCATCATGAATTTTCCCATGTTTGGGGTATTTTTATTTTTTGGCCCAAACACTTAAGGGATTGGCTGCCAAGGGAAAATCTGTAGGAAACCATGGGTTTTCCGAAATGAACATATGGCAGGTTCCGGTATATTGTTTTTCCCTCAAGCTAATCCAATGACATATGGGTCAGAGTCAAAACCATTCAAAATCATCAACACCGAAAAAAGGGATGTCTTGTTGTCAATGATAAGCACACCATTGACATACCATCCGGCAATCAAACATTGTAGTTTAACATCCAACATATATAGATGATTTTCCCATCAAAGCCGCTATTTATCGAGGATTTCCAATTGCCATGTTTGATTACCAAAGAGTAAATGAACAGTTTTGTGCAGCCATGCTCCATACAAATATACCGACGTTGCTGGGGAAATTATGGCAGGTTAAGGGGCTTCTCGGGTTCATTGGATGCCAGACAAACATTGGATCTTTGGGAAATATGGCATGCCTTGGAAAAGATTTCACACTTTATGAATGGTATCTAAGATTAATCCACATATAATCCCTGATCACTGGTTTCCTGAAATGGGGGTACCTCCAAATCATCGATTTTTCGGATTTTCCGTGAAATAAACCGTCCAGCTCTATTGGGGTATCCCCATGACTATGGAAACCCCCATATGTTTCGCGCCATGGCTTGAGGAAATTCATGGCACAAGAGGAATTTAACCTTCCTCCCATGCAGGACTATCAACCCATCACACCGGCGATCATAACATGGTTTGCTGTTGATGTTCATCCATTTATAGATGATTTTTCCAGCTATAAACTTCTATTTACAGCTGATTTTCGGTCAAAATCGCCATTAAACAGGTGATGCTCCGTTAAAATCACACTTAAATAGTAGGTGATGTTCCATGAATATCGATTAAAATTACTTTACTTCGAGTTATCCCTCCCCACCATGACATCTATACGTTTTGTTACTGGCAAATCTTCTGGCATTCTATCTGACATATCTTCTGGCATTTTATCTGGCATATCTTCTGGCATTCTACCTGGCATATCTTCTGCAATATGTTCTGGCATATCTTCTGGCAGTCTATCTGACATATCTTCTGGCATTCTATCTGACATATCTTCTGGCATTCTATCTGGCATTCTATCCGGCATATCTTCTGGCAAATATTCTGACATATCTTCTGGCATTCTATCCGGCATTCTATCTGGCATATCTTCTGGCATTCTATCTGGCATATCTTCTGGCATATCTTCTGGCATTCTATCTGGCATATCTT